TTCATGACAAGCAAAGTAATCAGATATCAGAGAAAAAACTTAACTGAAACACTGGATGACATCATCAGGCTCTGCTGCTCCACCTCATCAGCTTTTGCTTCTCCTCTGTAGAGAGAAAGAGAACACAAACAAGGAAAATAGGAAAATTAATCTAATAATGAACTACTGAGCACAAAGACTGAACATAAACTAGAAAATGACTGAACTAAATTAAACCAGAAACCAGACAGAAATAATCTGAACTAAGAACCCAGAAAACCAAAAACATCCCAGGAAGCTGCTGATAAAAAAAACAACAAATATTTAATTAAATTTAATAAAATTAAATTTCTGTTGGATTCTATTTGAGCAGAAATATACAAGTAAAGGTCGTTTAAAATTTCCCAGTCTTAAAAACAATACATTGTTGTCATGGTTGCGCAACACTACAACTGTCCGAAAGTAAAAAATGTAAGAAGAAAGATCCTCCAGTGACAAACCCAGAGGGAAACCAAAACCAGAACCAATCAGAGCTGATGTAGCTGAGCTGCTCCAACATGGCTGTCATGGAAGAAATTTCTTTAACAAGAGTCTGGATGAGAAGAAATAAGAAATTTATTAAAACCTTGCAAGGTGAGAACAGAAATACAGAGTCAAGGAGTCTGTCAGTCTGTCTGACCAACAGTGGATCTGGCTTCCTGTTATAGGCTCTGGTCAGAGAAGAGAGACTTGATTGGACAATAGGTGTGAATCCCTGATTGTGATGGATCAGGGAACTCGGATGGTCTGGTCATTTGTTTGTTGTTAAGGAAAGGAGGCTGTTGTCTGATGCTAAAGATGGCAGATAAGTTTTACTTTGGGGAAGCAACACTAGATGGTCTCCAGGATCAAGGATCTCCTGATGTTATATTTCATTGCAGAGGTCAATATGAGAGCTGCTTCTCTAATCTCATGATCCGACTGCAGATAAACTGAAGTGAGCAGATAAACTAAAGTGAGTGAGTTTGTGGTCACAAACTCACTCACAAACTCACAAAGTGAGTAGAAACACAATCTAGTTTGTGAGTTTGTGACCACAAACTCACAAACTCACAAACTGACTCACTTGTGACCACTTGTGACCACTTTGTGTGAGTTTGTGACCACAAACTCACAAAGTGAGTTTGTGGTCACAAGTGAGTCAGTTTGTGAGTTTGTGGTCACAAACTCACAAACTGACAAACTGACTTATTTGTATGTTTATAGCTCTTACGGTGTGTTCACACATAAAGGCTGTTAAATAAAGAGAAGTGAACCATGAGTTAAAGAGAACATCTTTTTGACCGGGAGTTTGTGAGTTTGTGGTCACAAGTGAGTCAGTTTGTGAGTTTGTGACTCACAAACTAGAAACACAATCTAGTTTGTGAGTTTGTGACCACAAACTCACAAACTGACTTACTTGTGACCACAAACTCATGACTGTGAAAGGAGGCCGGTTCTTTCAACTCAAAATTAGATCTTAATTCTGGAGACACAATTTGCTTAACTTAGTAAATATAAATGTTTTCTATATTAAAATTCTTCTGCTGTGTCCATTGTGATCTTGGCCTTAATGTCTGCCAGGAGGATTTGACAAACTGTGTTTCTGAACACAATTGGGTGATGGAAGTGTTGGGCTGTTCATATCACAGCAGAAGTCTGAATCCATGTCAACAGAAGTCAAACAAATGTATGAGTCAGACTCATACATATGATATGAACAGTCCTCTCTGGAGCAGAACCTGCCTGGTTCACCTTCCCAGATCAGTATCAGTACCTCAAAAAAGGTTAAGAACTACTGATCTAGAAATAATGAACTTTTATGCTTTAATTCTCTGTCCAGTTGTCTGTTTGCTTCACCTTGAAAACTTCCAGCCTTCGCTGTCAAGCCATAATGTTTCTGTTGTTTAACAATTAATTAGAAGATTTCACTCTCCTGGTTGTAAACTTTTCTTTTTGGAGGAAATATTTGCTTTTGTTGCACATTTTAAATGATTTGGTACAGGTCGTGCCTTTAGCAAACAAAAGGTGTGATTTTGGCCACTATTTAGTAGGTTTAGGTAGCTGTTGTGAAAATGTTCAGTTTTAGTTGATGACTGCATGAAAGCTGTCAGGAAAAACGGTAAAGATGTACAGCTTTTGTTGTTAGGAATGTTGTTTGAAACACCTGTAATACCCGCTGACACGTTAAGAATTTTTAACTTCCTCTGTGCTCTTCAGCACTGATCATCATCCTCTCCAGTCGTAATGTGGGTGTGGCTTTAAACTACAAGAACCGAAAGTTGGATCTGTCTCTACGTCAGTTTCAGCTTCAGCTCAAAGCGAGGTGAGTTCTCCGTTTTTCCTCGGTAACATTTAAATAATACATCAGGCGTTATAAATATTAATTATAACCAGTTGTAATTTGTTGTTTTTTTTACATTCAGGATTAAAGTTTCAGGTATTTTTGTTAGAAGAAAAAAATGTCTCTAGTCAGCTTAATCTGTTCATTACATTAAGGAAATAAGGAATAAAAATCTGTTGGTAAATTAAATTTATTACCAGATTTCTCTAATTCACACGTCAATAAGTTGTTAATTCAACAACATTGCGCAAAATCTTTCAGTCACAACACTGGTAGTAAAGGGAAGTCATGGCGCTCTGGATTGAATGTTGTGATGGCGCCCCCTACTGTTAAATGACGGTATGGTGTCGAAGTGGGAAGTCTTAGAAAAGAGGGACGATCAACTTAAAGGGCGACTGACACGCCTTTTAAGTTTCTCTTCCTCCTTTGGCTATAAATGCCCATCATATTGATTTGTGGCTCAGTTTCTAATCCTCCTCTGAAGACATTTGTCACCATGGACGCTTTCTTGTTTTTCACGGTTCTTTTCCTTACATCGGGACCTGCATTAGCAGATACAGGTTAGTCTCTATAGTCATTTGCTTCAGATATTGTTATGCTAGGAATTTATCTACTGAACTTTTAATTTATTGATTAAAACCAAAAATACTGAATGAAATTCTGGTTAAATGAAATAATGTTTCTGAAGAAGTTTTCATGCTTGTTCAGGTGCTAAATTGTCAATTTAAAATGCAGTCGGGCTTTTCTGCAAAGTTAACGCAGCGCTGAAAATAGTAACGGCAGAAACAAACGTCCAGAAAACTATAAAACAGCTGAAACACTGGGTGCTTTTAAACTTAAAACCCACCTGTTTAGAGTTGCTTATTGCAAAATTAGGGTTAGAGTGTGGGTTTTGATATCTTTGATGTTTTTATGTTTTTACCTTTTTAATCTATTTTTCTTCTTCTTCTTCTTGAAAAATGTCTTTAATGTTTTTATCTTTACTTTTTAATTTCTTTTTATTTCTCTTTCTCACCGTTTCCGTTTTAATGATGTAAAGCCCCCCTCGAAAACGTCCCAGTTAAATGACATTTAACTAAAGTCCTACAGGGTTTGGAGTCCCAGTTGACGTGTTTCAACTAAAAACCTGGAGGTTGGAGTCCTTGTCAAACTGTGTTTTTGACTAAAGTCCCAGAGGGTTAAAGGCCCAGTTACACAATGTTTAAGTCCTAAAAGGGGTGCGTGTTTTAATGTTTTCAAAATCTCTTTCTCTTTATCATTGTTTATTCAATGTCACATGCTGTTTTTATTTTAACTATGTAAAGCACTTTGAAATGCCTTGCTGCTGAAATGTGCTATACAAATAAAATTTGATTTGATTTGATTTGATTTGAAATGAAGTTCACCCATTAAGACCTCTAAGTTTTTTATGAGGTTTATTAGAAAAGAATGAATGGATGATTGTGGCAAATGTGAAACCGGAGATGTAATAGGGTCGTTCTGTCAAAGTGAGAATTCAGTCTCGAAAGGGTTATTAAGAGTTGCAGTGAAAGTGAGTCATGTTAAAGGACCGGACCTTTGTCATCAATGTTCCTACGTTGTTACATGAAAAGTGTGCAGTGATGCTACTGAATGTAAATCATGATGTTTCTTCAGCAGGACAGGAAGTAGAAACTCAAGCAGAAACAGTTTAACTCTACAAGATTTAAGAGAACTTAAAATTCAAATAATTAAATCGTAAAAAGATTTAAACTAACAGAAAAGTTTGAATAGCTGAATGAAATACATTAATAAAAATAACATGAGTCCTTGTTAGATAGTTTGAAACAATTCTTGTTTTAAAGTCCAGATCCATTGATCCAGTCCAGGTCAGAGTCCAGTGTCTCTCCTTGGTCTCTGCTGCTGCTGGAAGTGGACCGGGTCACTCTGACCTCTGACCTTTCTGCTCTGTTTCTCTGTAGTTCATAAAAACATCTCAGCTGTTCCTGGACAGAACAACGTCTCTCTGCCATGCCGACTCCCCAACAACAAACCTGCTGTGGTTGTGCAGTGGACCCGACCGGACCTGGAACCAGAATATGTCCTCCTGTTCAGAGACGAGCAGCCGGACCCAGAGAACCAGCATCCATCTTTTAGGAAGCGGGTGGAGCTGCAGGACAGACGGATGGAGGACGGAGACGTGTCTTTGCTTCTGAGCAACGTGACGACCAACGACACGGGAACATACGAGTGTCGGGTTTTCCAGAGAGAAGCAACCGGCAGGAAGAGACGCACTTTGACCTCTGACCCCATCTGGACCGTCTTCCTGGATGTGGCGCCTCCTACTGGTGAGTTTTCATGGTTTCTATGTTCCAGTGAAAGAAGGAAGCTGCATAAAGTGGTTTAATGTTCAATCAGTGAATCTTCTTAAAGGTAAAATGTCTCCAGAGTCTCTGTGGCTAATCTAGGGGGAATATCCCTTTAAGGCCAGATGTGGTTCTGGTTCTGCAGTGAACCTGTCAGCCCAGATGTTTGTGTTTGTAAAGCTGCTGCAGAAGCAGCTGGTCTGAGAGCAGCAGATGAAGAGAAATGGATTCTGACCTTCAGCTCTGATTCTGTTTGAAAGAAAACACGGAGGGAAGAAAAGAAGATGGAAGCAGAAACAAACATGTTGGACTGATTGTTGGAGCCGTTCTGATGGTTCCACTGGTTACTGGGTTGGTTCTTTGTCTTTATTTAATGAAGCAGAAGATGAACAGATCACCAGACCCACAGCGAGGGTTTTGGTTGTTCCAGTTCAGATCCCCAACCTTCATCCTCAGGGTCCAGCGTCCTCCATGATTTAAATGTGACCTTCAGCTCTAATGATTGTAATAATTGTATTATTTCCTCTGCAGCCCATCAGGTTCTGCAGGAGTTTTAATCACTGGATCATTTATGTCCTAAAGCTGCAGGACTTTGAGGACCAGGTTGGGGTCACTGATCCAGTTGACCTCAGTTTGGTTTCTGCAGCTGTTACAGTTGATATCTTGATGCAGTGAAAGTTAATTTCAGTATTTTGAACAAATCAATTTAAAGAAGCAGAAACACATTTATTAAACATTTATGCACAAAAAACCGTTTTGCAGCTTAAGAATCAATAATTTTATCTATTGAATTTGTTCAAAAAAAAGTGAGAAGGTTACACTGTTTTTATTCTTCAATATAAAACATGTATATATGTATATAATCTAAAACTATGCCGTAATATTTTTGTTTCTTTATTTCCTCCATAACTATTTAAAATAAAGATATATTTATACATCTTTGATTATATAGTTTTATATATTTATACTGTTTCACAAAGTCCCTCCACAGGTTGATGTTCATGTGTCTCAATGTTATTTTATTTTTATTGTTCATATCTACCCTAACATTGTGCCTCCTTCTCTTTCTGCAAATTATTCTTAAATATTTTTGCATAGTTAATCATGTCTGAACTTTATCTTGTGGGTTTACTTTCAATGGAAATTTTAATGTACATGATTTTGTAAAATATGTGTTGATTTAATTTTACTGTATTAAACATCCTGTTGCTCTTTTCAGAAATGTGATTATTGGCTGCAGAGTAGATTTTATTCCCAGATCTAAACACAGTAGAATAGATACAGTAAAAACAATGAGGAATATAGAAAATACAGGAATTTCAGAATGAAAATATTAATTCTTCTTCCAGGAATTGCAGTAAATATGAAAAGATTTGTTCTGATTAAATGAGATTTCAAGCAAATTTTATTTCATTCACTCATTTATATGTTTATTTTTAATTATAAATCCAACATTAAATTATTTATTCCTTCCAATCAGCACAAATCTATGTTTTACTCAAGTTTAGAACTTATCTCTGTTAAATCACAGTTGTTTGTCTTTAGTCCTAATTGGATTGTTGATTTACTGATCACATCAACATTTAGACTATTTTCAATAATAATTTCTGTATATTGATAATAAACAATCCACTGTTGCTTGTTGCTCTTTGTTTTCTGTATTTTTCAAACTTTTCTCTCAGTTGGATCTTTAAATAAACAGGAAGTAGAAACATAGAATCTGATAAAAGATCCTAAATCAATGCATTAAAAATCCATTAAAACCAGAAAAGTTACTAAACTATTTCATGTTGTTTCTTGATTCTGTTTCATGTAAAGTGAAGTGAAGATCACTGAGTGAAGCATCAGGATGAAGCTGCTGATCAACTGATCAGATCAATATTTAATAATCAGAAATAAACACATTTCATTAAAGGAAACATTTTAAATCTGTGTTTTCACATCAGAACTGAATAAAGACAGAAAGGAGGAGAAAAACTAACTTTCACTGTTGAGCAGCTTTTAGTCAGAGCTTAGAGCGCCACCATGTGGACAAAACGAGCTTCTAAATTGTGTTTTTCATGTTTCAGGTTCAGCTACTGAGTTTAGAAACTGACTTTGTTCCTTTGAGCAAATTAAACTTTAAACAATTAAATTGAACTGAAAAGATCAGATTCTGTTTACTGGTTCTGACATGTTCTACCATTTATATCTGATTAAACAATAAA